AAAGAGAGAGAAAGTGACAAAGAAAAAGAGAGAGAGAGAGAGAGTGAGGAAGTGCGAGAGAAAGAAAGCGCGAGTGAGAGAGAGAGAGAAAGTGTGAGATATCTCGCGCAGTTATCTGCTAGACGCGCCGTTGTAGCCGCGGGCAGTAGGCGGGGTTAGCGAAGGCAGGCACGAGAGATCGTAGGAACAGCGGCCATGATCTCTCACATTGACCTCTTACCGTGGCCGTGAGCATCAAGCCGCCACCGCCGCCGCCGGCTGCTGCCGCCGCTGCTGCCGCTGCTGCTGCCGCCGCCGCTGCTGCTACTGCTGCTGCTGCTGCTGCTGCTGCTGCTGCAGGTGCTGCTGCCGCCGCCGCCGCTGCTGCTGCTGCTGCCGCTGCTGCTACTGCCGCTGCTGCCGCTGCCGCTGCTGCTACTGCCGCTACTGCCGCTGCTGCTGCTGCTGCTACTGCCGCCGCTGCTGCTGCTGCTGGTCCTACTACTGCCGCTGCTGCTGCCGCCGCTGCTGCTGCTGCTGCTGCTGCTGCGGCTGCTGCTACCGGGTTGATATACGTTAATACTCATCAATGTCGCGGCCGTGCCGAAAGAAAGTGAATCTGCCGAGATAAGATCGGTAAGCAAGGCAGTGACCGCCTCTCCCCCTCCACCTCCCTTCTCCCCCCCTCCCCTACTTTCTTCACGTGGATGCGTCGTATACACTGATGATGCTGCTGGGGCAGATAGTATAGATAGTAGATAGTATAGATAGTATAGATAGTATTATACTATCTATACTATCTATACTATCTATATTACTGTCTATACTATCTATACTATCTATACTATCTATACTATCTATACTATCTATACTATCTATACTATCTATACTATCTATACTATCTATACTATCTATACTATCTATACTATCTATACTATCTATACTATCTATACTATCTATACTATCAAGAGCGGATAATACCTACAAGAGCGGAGGTATTATCCGCTCTTGATACTATCTATACTATCTATACTATCTATACTATCTATACTATCTATACTATCTATACTATCTATACTATCTATACTATCTATACTATCTATACTATCTATACTATCTATACTATCTATACTATCTATACTATCTATACTATCTATACTATATATATTATCTATACTATCTATATTACTATTTTTTCCAGTTTCCCGCTGCACCCTCTCTCTCTCTCTCTCTGGTACGGTACACTACACCGTGTCTTTTCTTATAGAACATGACAATGTTTGTATTGGTTAATTTAAACAGCTAGTAGTCCGTTCAAAAGTCTAGTTTCACGCAAAAAACAACAGTTTTTTAACAGCTAGACCCCCAGGACTACATCATGTTAGTTTAACAAAGCTCTCTTTCTCTCTCTCTCTCTTTCTTCTGCCCCCCCCTCTCTCTCTGTGTGTGTGTCTGTCTGTCTTTTACCCTCACGCGCTCTCTCTTTCACTCTTTCTATGTCGTTCACTCTCGTTCTCGCGCTCTCTCTCGCTTTCACTCTATCACTCTCTCGCTCTCTCTTTCACTATCTTTTACTCCCCCCATCTCTCGACATAGTTTATGTTAATGCAGACCCATAGCCTAATATTATTATCTAGCCACTATATTGCAATGCTTATACAGCGACAACTCGACGCGACGGTGGAGATATGATACCGGGAGGAGGTGTATGTACAACGGCTAATAGCAGCTATCGCTAAACTATTTGGCCCTTTAACGCAGAAAATGTGGTATAATGACCAGTAGGA